GAGAGAGAGAGAGGAAAGAAAGATAGAAAGAAAGAGAGAAAGAAAGAAAGAAAGAAAGAAAGAAAGAAAGAAAGAAAGAAAGAAAGAAAACAGAACAAGCCATGGTGGCTTAATGTTTGTAAGCCTACCACTCTGGAGGCTGAGGCAGGGGGATCACTGCAAATTTAAAGCCAACATGGTCTTCGGGAGGGGGAGCCTGTCACAAATAAAACCCAGGAAGAAACTCTACACCCCACCCCACCCCTGTTCAGAGCTCCTGAAGCTGGGGAGGAGTTGGTAGACACTAGAAAGTCAGCAGAGCCCCAGTCCTATCCACAGCCAGCATGATGTAATCACAGCCCCAGATCTGAACACCTTGCATTCTTTAAACATTCTGTGTGAGTCTGCAATCACAGTTGTGCTCCTCCAAGAGAAGACATGTGTTCACACAAAACACAAACTGTTAAAAGCAGTGTTACTCCCAAGAGCACTAATTAGAAACAGCCCCAAATCTCCATTGACTTGTACCCGGACAAGCGAGTCCTGTGGATTCCTTCAACAGACAGTATTAGCCACAAGGGATGAGCCAGGACACTGTGTAAAACGTGTGCTCAGAAACAGTGAGCAGTGAAGACCCGAGTCCGGAGGCACAGGCCTGCCCTCTCAACCACAGGAGAGACTAAGGCAGAAAGACTGACTGTGAGTTCAAAGGTAGCCTGGCCAAGCTAACAACGCTGTCAAAAAGGATTGGTGATGTAGCCTAATGGTAGAGTTTTTCCCCAATACATGCAAAACTCTAGAATAGACAAGGCATTGGATCCTGCTATTCTAGGACAAGCGTAGGGGCAGCCCCAAGAGGCCATCTGGCTTCCTGCCAATCAGGAGCCAGAGAGTACGGGTCAGGCAGAGCACAGAAAATTGATAGAACACACTTTATATCGGGATCCTGAGGGTTTTGCAGCTACATCTGTGTTACAAAACTCCTAACCTGTGTGGTCCCACAGGACTGTGGGAGGTGAGGGATGCTGGGGGCCTGGCCACACACATAACCTGCCACAACCCATTTTCCTGTAGAAGGTACCAGGTCCCCAAATCCTGCTTCCCACCGCATCTTATCCCAGACTCTGCAGTCGAATACAGGCTAGCCTGTCCACCTTCATTCAGCCAGCAGCCCATAAAATAGCAAATAAAAGCCTACGAAGAGTGAAGACTCTCCGAAAGAGCTTGGCATGGAAATTTGAGGCCAGCCTGAGTCACATAGATCTCTCTCCTCCAAAAGAAAATTAAAAATGACCCTGACGAGTGGGAAAGGCTGCTTTCTGCCTGCTGAACACAGTCCCTGCACCAGGAGGCATTGGGCTACCTTATGAAGGAGCCCCTTGCACACCGGAGCCTCAGCTCCCACTTCCAATCCTGCAGCGCCACCTGGAGGCTGTGTAAGTGAACAGCAAAGAGCCTCACATGGCCTTGGGGAACTCAGAATCTGCTCTAGATTCGACTAGTTGGTGCCAGCTTCATCCTCGGCCGCTGACCCCTCATCAGGCCAGTTAGGCATACTTGCAGGGGCTGGGGTTCTGTCAGACGGTACTGATGCAGTTACTTCTTTTCCAGCCCCATGTTCTACAGGTAATCTTAACTATATGGTCTGAGTCTACAGAGTCCCAGCACAGAATGACATGAAGATGAAGGTTGAGGACTTTCTGTGAGTCATTGATCCCAAACACACTCTGTCACTTGTGATGGCCAAAGTCTTTTGTCATGCTGAAGAACTCCCCTGACCCCAAACTCTTCGTGTGCAATATGGCCACTCCTGGACTCCAAGTACATTAGGGATGCCAAGATAGTAAAGCCCAATAGTGACTATCTGGACACCCATCCAGGACAAGGACACAGAGCACAAACAAGTTTAGCAGCACAAGAAGATAGTTCTCTCAGTGTATGGTAAACCACACCTGTGGGCATCTTTTCCAAAGAGAAGGAAATGTAAAACTCACACAGGATCCTGAACTTAAGTGTGCACACGACCTTTATTAAGGACAGCCAGAAGCAAATGTTACTCGGTACCTTCATCAGCTGCATGCATAGAAAGCCTCCATTCCTCTCCACCTCCCGTCAAGCTAAGAGCACCCACCCTGCTGGCCATCGTCCCTGCTTTCTTTGCTGGGTCAGGGATGTCCAGACTCCCAGAAGGCCAGAGGACAGGACAGGTTTGGAATAATGGGCAAAGGCTGAAGCAATGGGCACTGAGAGACTCATCTTCTGACGACCAGCATGAGGCCAGCAGCTGGGCTCAGGGGAACCTCTGTGTCTGCTGTTTGATCCAGGGCAGGAAGGACTGCACACGTGCATAGACCCCAGGGATGTCCTTCAGGCCACAGCCATAGCCCCAGCTCACCACTCCCACCAATTTCCAGGAGCCTGCTACGCTGCAGACCAGGGGGCCACCTGAGTCACCCTATCAGAGGAAGTAGCATCAGTGGATGTTGGCCTGAAGTGGGATAAGGGACAAGAAGGAGGAAGTCAACTGAACTCACATAGCATGTCCCATGGCCCACACTGCTGGCACACAGCATGTCATCTTGGATGAATCTGTGGTCCTGGTGGTGGTGCCTGGTGGCATTATGGTACAACTGCTCACAGATGACATTATCCACTATCTGCACCTGAACCTGCTGCAGGCGGTAGGGAGGGGGCAGCGATGCTGGGGAGAAAGGAAGTAGGGTTGGTAGTATATAGAACCTAACCTACCGTACCAACTCATCCTGGGGACTGAGAATACATCCATCCCTACCCAAATCCAACCCTGGAACAGTGTATATAGAAGACACACATCTGCAAGATCCATGCTCAGCTCTGACATTTAGGAGGCTAAAGATGGTTCCTATGTGCTTATAGGGGCCAGTGAGATGGGTCAGTTGATGAAGGTGCTTGCAGCCAAGTCTGAAGACCTGAGTTCATCTCCAGGGACACATATGATAGAAGAAGAGAACAGATTCCTGAACGTTGCCTCCTGACCTCCACATGAATGTTATAACAAAGCATGGCATGCCCTCTAAGTGCATACATAAATAATGTAGCCAAATCTATCAGCCTGCAGCTCCAGAGCTGAAAAGAGAGGAGTCAGATGTTCTAGTATTTCCAAAAGAGAAGAGGAAAAAAGGAGGAGGAGGAGGGGGAGGAGGAGGAGGAGGAAGAGGAAAAAGAAGAGGAAGAGGGAGCACAGAGTGGAATAGGAATGAGGAAGAGGAGGAAGAGGGATCAGAGAGAGGAATAGGAAGGGCCTTTGCCCCTCGGAGTCTTGGGTTCTGGGCCTGGCCATGCTTTCGGCCTCAGGTACAGAGCTCTGACTGACAGACATCTTGAGTATCTGGAGAAAAGCAGCCAGAGGTGCTCTGTATTCACCAACATTCTCTTCCTTCCCTGGATTCTGTTCCCTAGAACCTCAGTGTCACCCAGCAGGGATCCTCAGATGACAAGTTTGCTCCCACAGCCCGATTCTTTTCTTGATACATACCGTGAATGCGCACCATGCCCCAGCCAGTCACCAAGCATTTTGAGTTGACCTCAAGAGACCCAGAGATCAGCTTGACAGGCTTGATGTTAGCAGAACGGTTCAAGGGTTTCTCCAGCTTAAGCAGAGCCACATCTGAGCCCAGGACACCCTGCACGTAGTCCTGGTGGATGATCATCTGGCTCACACTCAGCAGCTTCTTGCCCCCATAGAGGTACACATCCCCAGCATGAATGCGGAAGGCTGACGGGTCCGCATTTCTCCTGGGGTCAGAAAGAGGCTGTGGCTACATATTCTAGGTACTTGGGGGAAGTTCTTCTGGACAGAATCAAGTGAACCCCATGCTGGTCTCCCTGATTCACCCCACATCCTACCCAGCACTAGATGACAAAGGAACTCACTCATGAATGCAGTGGGCAGCAGTCAGCACCCACTGTGGGTGGATGATGGAGCCCCCGCAGATGTGGATCCAGGAAGTCAAGTAATAGTTGTACTTCCTCAGGCTGACCTGCCAAGGCCACTTCCCCTGTGGGGCATTACGGCCCCCCACGATGCCCACCAGCACATCATCAGGGACAGGTGCTGCAAGCAAAAGGTAAGATCAGGAGCCCAGTGCTCAGCCTAACACTCACGCTGGGCGCTGGGGCAGACAGAGCAGAACATGCATGTGTCCACAGAGGAACACAGCTGTCTGGAGCCTGTGTAGAAGGTGGCATGGAGAGAGGGCTCACCTGAACTCCCAGCAACGGAGCATCCAAGAAAGAAGAGAGTCAGGCCCAGCCGGCTCAACATCTGTAAAGAGAAACAGAGAGTGCAGCAGGAGCTGGGCTAGCTTCCATCAGGATGGAGAAGGCTGGAGACCCTTCGTGGATCTGGGAGAGGATGCAAGCATGGAAGGGCATGGAGGAAGCTGGGCTTGCCTGGGCTGGGATGGAGAAGCTTGCCTCCCAGAGTTCACTGAGGGCATCTAGAAGGGAAGAGGGTGATGCCCTTACCATGCCAGGTCTCTGTAGCTCCCTCCCTGCCAGAGCCTCTCAGTCCTTTATCCTTGAGCCCCAGGAAGTGGGCAGAGGCTTGACCAAGTCTGTCACTTCAAGGAGGGGCTGGAAGGAAGTGGCATTTAACCTCAGACAGGGACTGTTGGGAACTATGTCCTTCCCTGGTCCAGTTACCCAGAATAGAGTCATAGGAATGTCACTGTCTGCTCGAAGCAGCATCATGGGGAGGTTTGGAGGAAGAAGGTTACAGCCTATCCTGGTGCTAGTGCTAACTCATCCCATGAGGGGCCAGGGAAAAGAACCCTCTCCAGATGTATAGGTGACACTCAGACCCAGGTAAACCAGCTCCCCCTTGCCAGATGCAGAGCCACGATATTGACATCACAGAGAAGCTTCTGCCCAGGGCTCCACGTCCGGGCCTACAGTGACCAGAACATAGGCTTCAAATATACTTCACAAAAACTAGCTGAATGGCTGAGAACCTTACCACTGTGGACACCCATAGGCAGAGCTTACAGCGCTGAATACAGGACCCATTCTCTAGGACCTGTGGGAGACTGAGGCCCATGGATCCCAAAGTGTGCCAGCAATTCCCACACTCCACATCCCTGGCCACAGCACTTCAGTCTTGGGTTTCCCTCCAGAAATCTTAGTGTCAGATATGCGCTGGAGCCACCATGGGCCCTGGCTGAACTCTCCCCCCATTTGTGGCCAGCCTATGTGTGTTGGGGGTGGGAGGAATCTCATGTAGTCCAAGATGACCTCAAGCTCATTATGTAGCCTAGGATAACCTTGAACTTCTGATTCTCCTTTCTCTCCCTCTTTACCTCCCAAGTACCGGGATTACAGGTGTGCACCCCCATGCCTGTTTCTATGCAATGCTGGAGCCTCATGCAGTTTAGACATGTAGTCTACCACCCCCAGACTCCTGCAGTCCTTTTACCTACAGGGTTGTGTTAGCTTTGGAACACTGGGGAAAGCTAAGCTCTAAGACCAGAGTGAGCTTTAGGGTTGCAGACAGTGCTAGTGGAATAGCATACATGGTCACTCAGGGCTGGCTGTATCTGGGACTGTGGAGGAATCGAGGGAGATGTACATCTGGCCTCAGGTCCTGGTCCAGTGAGAGCCAGCCCTGAGAGGCTGAGATAAGTATACAGAGCAGCTACCTGTGCATGGGGACAGTGTGAGTTCCGAGGCCCCAGGATAAGTCAGGGTACTTTGAGGGAACCGTGTAAGCCTAGTATCAGGGCATAAAATTCTGGTTCTGTGACCTTTGCGTAGGTGGCAAGGCTAGGAGGGACTGTGGTTCGGACTCTCAGCCTGAGGGAAAGTCTAGTGTGAAATGTGAATGAACCATCACTACAGGAACAGCAGGCTGGGTGTCATGGCCACATCTTCAAATCAAAGCAGAGGCAGGTGGATCTCTGTGAGTTTAAGGCCAGTCTGGCCTAAATAGTAAGCTCCAAGCTAGTTGAGACTACATAGTGAGACCCTATCTCAAAAAACAACACTAAACAAGACCAGGAATGGCAGAGGGAGAGATATGTTCTCTCAGACAAGGGATATCAATCTGGACAGCTGCATGGGGCACAGACAGGAAGTAAGTGAAGGGTTGGGCCCTTTACATTTTCCAAGAACCTAGCAAAGCCTAAAGAGTGACCTAAGGGCTCACTCAGGGGAAACCATCTCCTGCTCCCTGTGGCATTGCAAGCCCAGGGTGCCTTATCTGTGTGAGATCACCTGAGGCCCCTCATTGGTGGTCCTGATGTTGCTGTTGGGCAACAAGACCTAGAGATAGGATACCTGGCCACTCTGATAGAGGCAGGACCAGGCCACCATGAATGAGCACATCCGTGATAGAATCAGAGAGAACTAGGGACCATGTGAGCTGAGGCAAGTAACCGTTAGCTCAGGAGCCACAACCTAGCCAGTGAGAGGTCCTGTCGAACTTCTGGGGTCAGGGATGCTGTTAGGGAACGGATGTGGTTGCCCAGGGATGGTGTTGCAAGAGGGAGAGCTGGGATGAGGTACCAGCACTTGGGTATCACTGTTTCAGAGTAAAACGACCAGAGTCCTTGGGACACTTGAACTACAGCTGATAAGAGTCACAGACAACATTTTTTCAACATCCCCAGGTATATCCCAGTCTGTGTATGAGAGGAATATAGATTAGTGATGAACCAACTCCTAGGTTAGGTACAATACTTTCCCAAGACCTGAAAAGTCCTCCTCTTCAGTTCTGGGTGATCCAGGGAGAAATCTCCATTGTCCACGTGGACAGATTTGCTTAGTCACATGTAATGTTGGTTGGTTACCAGCATCCTCAGGATGAAGTTGAAGGAGCAGGAAAAATCAAGGTCCCTGATGATGGGTCTGTGGATAGCCCTGGCTATCATTGGAGAATCCCTTGATGCAAATTCAGGCTGAGCCTTGAGAAGATGGAAAGTTGGCCTGGGAGTCAGGGACCGAACATGATGTCTCTGGGACTGAGAAGAAGAGCTGGAGATAAGGAAGAAGCCAGGTGCTTGGGTCATTCTGTCTTGACAACTCTACCTCACATAGGAGAGTATCTCCCTGCATTGATCTGCTGGTCTTGAGTGCCCAAGGTCACACTTGTCCTGGTCTCTTCTCATGGGATCAGACCCAGAGGTGAGTAGGAGGAGAGGTCCAGGGTTAGCATTCCTGCCTGGTCCCCAGCCTATCTGCTGCTGTGTGTATCCTTAGGGAAACCACTGTCTCCATGGTTCTTAACCTGGAGTTCAGAGGCAATCTCACCTGCCTTGGGAGAAAGGAGCTGCTCCCAGTGAGTGTCCCTAGGGAAAGGTCCCAGGAGCTATTATTGGTCATTAGTTTCCAAAAGTAAGTTTACCAAGAACATTCCAGAAAGGGTTCTGGCAGTAATGGAATCCTGAAAGGCTTATGTACCCAGAGGTTGCATTAGGGACCAGCCAGTTGTATATTCATAATAGCACCCGTCAAGGGCCTCAGATCTGAGAGTGACCAGGCTGGGCTGAAACATCTCTGTGCAGACTGCCCCAGGACTCAATTATGATTTTCTCCATTTAATTTTCTTGTCTTTTACACTTAATCATCTCATCTTTTAAAGAGCACTTTGCTATTTAAAAAGCAATGATGTCAGTCTGGGGGCATAACTCAATGGCAGAGTGCTTGTGTGCTGTGCACAAGAGTATTGTTTCAATCAGCACTGTAGCAGAAAAAAACACCCAAGCAACAGTGTCCATTAATGAAAACCCATCTGATTCCTTGTTTTAAAGATAATGACAGGGCCTGAACTATTTGCAAGGAAGTAGAACAACTCCAGCTGTCACACAACCACCTTCTAAGTGTGTGCCCTGCTAGGCACTGTCCCACGGGCACTAACTCTCCTTGCCCCAGGCTACCCATGCAGGGGACACTACACTGGGAGCTTTCCAGGGTATGAGGAGAAGGACCCACGTGGGCATGTAGCAGAGGACATGGTGCCTGCTAAGTCTGGAGAAGATTCGTCCACAGACCTGGTACTCCATTCTCTGAGAGTGACTGCCAGGGCCCTTGCAGGGGAAAACCACTACCGCATCATCAGCAAGAACTGTGGGGACAAAGCCCCTTCCTAGGAGCAGGAGGGAGGTTACAGCAGGAATGTCACTGGGATACCTTCTCTGGAAGCCAGTGTCATCCTGTAGACGAGTGATTCTCAGCCTTCCTAACAGTGCCACCCTTTAATACAGTTCCTCATGTGTGATGACCCCTCCCTGACCCTCAACCATGAAACTATTTCCATTGCTACTTTATAACTGTAATGTTGCTACTGTTACGAACTGTAATGTAAATATCATTGTTTTCCAATTGTCTTACCTGACCTCACAGGTTGAGAACAGCTGCTACAGAGGAAGGTGAGACAGGATTACCTCCCCACCTCCTCCAGAGTTTATCAAGTGTGGTCAACTTTCTGAGCTTCCTGGCCAGTGCTGCTCAATGAAACTTGGTAAGAAGTAGCAGGTACCCATGGGAACTAATGTAGCTTGTACCTTTTCCCAAGCCCTTAGGAAGCCACAAGTTTGAGGCTGGTATGGCCTGCCTAATGAATTTCAGGCCAGCCAAGGCCTACATAGCAAGATCCTGGCTCAGGGGATTAGGGGGAAGAGCCAGCTGAGATGAGGAAAATAGCTAGTTCTTAAGCCCGACAACATTGTTAGAAGGAAGGAACTGACTCCTGTAAGTTGTCCTCTGAAGGGTGCAACCTATGCACCCTTCTTCCCCCTACACACCACACACACACACACACACACACACACACACACACACATCCGTGACCACTAGCTTTGGGGCAGACTGAGGGACTATTTCTGTACCCTGATAGGTAGGCTAGCGGGGACATATGCTTACATGTTCTTCTGAAGGGCATCAGAACACCTTTAGTATGGTCTCTGACACCTAGAGGTGCTGACAAGTACTGGCTCCCTGTTCCAGATCTTAGCATCCCTATGATCCGCACAGAAATACTTCAAGAGAAACCGACTGCCACAGCAGGAGTGGGCATCCAATGCCACACAGAGCAAAGCTGGGCACGGACTTTGGCCTCAAAAAGCCCACTGATCACATTCCTCTAGCCCTGGCTTCCAGTGTGTCACAGACAGACAAGACCTGGGGTCCCAGTGACACTAGAAGGGTCTCAAGCACAGGTTATGGGGAATCAGACTCTTCATTAGTCAGAGGAACCACTGCCCCAGAGCCCTGACCACCTTATCTTCTCAGCAGCCTGAGGACCCATTCCTCACACCCAGGAAGCAGGCA